TAAAAAACGGATCATGTGAAAATATGATACACGATGACAGAAAGTATACTTTTTTTAACTAGATATGATAATATTTGGATTTAAGTAAAATATTGTAGTAAGTAAATCTGTTTGAAAATTCTAAGAGATTACTTTTAATAAGTGAAAAACTCACAATTGCAAATGGTTTTAAGAAAGAAATCTTCGGTCTTTCCTCTTTTACATTGGTCTTTTAAATAATTATAAAAAATTGAAAAAGCCAAGGATTGAAAGGTGGCTGCCTTTGTCAGTGTAAGCCTATTCATTTCATGGTTAACTTACATATAATGAAAACCCACATCATGATTTCCCACAACAACTTGAATTTGAGAGGATGCATCCACAGCAAACATATGATGAAATCTTGCTACCGTTTCTTGGAATTCTTGATCACTGCATATCTTCCCTTCATCAAAAAGATCACCTGAAACATAAAAAGCAGCAATCCATGCTTTATTATATATATTTGAAGTTTTAGACAAAAATACAGATTTGTTGGCGTGACAGTACTTTCAAATTGAAATCTCTATCAGCGTTGGAACAGAACTTTTGACATCCATTTTCAAATTAAGGAAAAGAGCAGAATGACACTCATGTGCCCAAATGCAGTTTTCTTTCAATCAATATAAAGAAGAAATTGAAAACAAAAAACAGTTTACAGACTTTTCAAATGGTTATTTTCTCAATATTTGCATAAGCTATGAGGTCTTTCTCATTGGAAAATTGTCCAATAGCCTCCCAAATACAGCTGAGTGATGTTACGACCCACTTCCAGTTTTCGTAGAGATCATGAAGGTGAAAGCGTTACTGTTTGTGCCAAATTTCATGTATTTTACTTCAAAATCTACACAACAGTTTGAATTTAAATTTGGCACATAAATTCTTTACATGATATTGCACCTATCTGCTAAATTTGAGAGACTGAGCTATAGAAGTTTTTCTGTAATTCGTGTTCAAATTAGAAAATAAGCAATTTTTCATCAGTTTCTTGAAGGGCGAGTCTACATGTGTCACCATTAGATCTTGAGAAATCTCACCTAACACAAATACAACCTCGGGACTATGGATAGAAAATGTTGTTTGAAAGGATCTCTGCATTTGCCATTCTCTGTAATGTAAAAAACTGGACAACTGATTACTAGTACAATGATTATTTACACTGAACATAATAACCACTATAAATAAATAAATGAATAAATAAATAAATAAATAAATAAACAAACTATCTATTGCTTAAAAACATCATTTTAAACACTTCCCTAATTCCTGAATTGTGCAAAATTTTACAAGATATTTAATTCTCATAAATGTTGAAATTGATTATGTTATCCTTATATTATCCTTATATCAACACAGCAATGATATGTAATCCCAAACAAATGTATAGGATGGCCATCCAAAGTTACCTTCTCAGCTTATCAAACCAGTGCCCATTAAAGGACCCCAACAGGTGAGTGTCTGCAATAACCATCACCTTGAGTGGTTTGCTCTGGCCAGGGTCAATCATAACGTCCAGGTGGTCAGTGGTCATCTCTGGCCAGGCACACTGCAGTAATGTCACATAGTAGACTAGGTACTCATTGTATAGAAATAGCAGCAGTACCAGAAGAAGCAGCTTTGATAGCCGACCCCAGTACAGCTTCACCACCATTGGGTCCTCCTTGTAGTTTACTGTACAGCTAAGTCTTCTATGCTCTGACCAACCATTAGAAATTAACAGTCTGTGCAACCTCACTTTATCTGCTTTGTAACTTGGTAATGTGACCCACCTTCTATGGAGAAGTTAGTTATTGTCAAGTCATCAAAAAATTTCTCAACAACTTCATGTGTAATGTAATTTAAGGCAGTTGCAAGATGCTGGGCCTATCAATATCACACACAATGGAATATTGTGTCTGTTTATAACCATCTCCTTGGCATTACCATGCTTTTAACTTGTTCTTGATCCTGTACTTTGCCCTAAAAATTCAAAAGTCATAAAATCATTAATTAAGAAAGTAAATGATCATGTTTTATTCACTCTTTCGCCATCTGTCCCATACAGTTGGTAACACCTAATTAGATAAATGAATCAAGAAGTGTTTAAAATGTCCCTTGGTTCGAGGAAGACTTTCTGTGAGTTTTAACTCACATTAATTAAAATTACTGGCGTCGTACAACTACAATTAAGTAACTGAAGTAAACTGCAATTTAAAAATCATTTCAGCCACATTAGACTCTAGTAAATAAATCGAAATGCACCAGACCTAACATTAATACACCATAGCTGAGCATTAAACGAAAAAGAAATAAAAAAAGAACTATTAAATTGCACCTTTTGAACTACAACATGTTTTCTGCACTTTCGATCACTTTACCGGAAGTCGCATGGCGTACACAAGAGGACACAAGATAAGCCACGTCCACGAATGATTTTCATTACTCAAAAAGGCTTTTGGCAAATTTGCGAATTTTTCTTTTTCCCTGTCAACCATTTTCAGCCCCTGAAGGAAATATCATACATAAAATGAATACGATAAAAACTGCAAAATATTCCATCTTATAAACGTTTAATCTATAAATTACAGTGTGAATTACAGTTTTTAAAAACTCGTTTTCTGTGGAACAGACTGAAGGTTTATAACTACAAACTACATGACCATTTCCTTTCACACGAAACTTCGGCAAGCCTTAACTCTTTCCCTGCTTCCAATCTCAGTTTCAATGTGTCAGAAGCGTTTGGTGATTCTGATACAGTTTTATCACTTGTAGTTACGCAAGATTAATTATACGTATAACAGAAATAATAATCGTCCGTTACAGTGTTAAATCCAGAGCGTAGTGAATTTACAGGCGGGCCATGTAATATAATCATAGTAATTCGTCTTAGTGGCTTTTCTACCTTATTTTAATATTACTCCCCGAGGGGAGTGGGCCGATCCTGGAGGTACTGCAATACCAGGCCAACCCGTGGCAGGGGTGGAGCAAGCTCCTGACGCCCCGCCCAGTTCCAAAAATCAGTTTAATATCGAAGTCCCCTGTAGGGGACGTATCAGATATTAAGCTGATAAGAACAGATACTACACTTTGATCTTAGCCAAAAGGCCGAGAAGCGATACCAATGTAATGTAAATTGTCAGTTTTGAGTGCATGTATAATTGTTTCCAGGGTAGGATAATTTAAAGCATATATTATAATACTTTTAAATTTATAAATTACAATATGTATTTAAACTAATTTTCTTTACAAAAATTTAAAACAACTATATTT